TAATAGTAGTAATGGAAATCATGTGATACAGGTAATTATAATGAAAAGAGTATTTGTAACACTTATAGATTTTAATACAGAACTGATCACAAGAGTAATGTAATATAATATGTAAGCTGAAAATATAAATGCTTATTCTTGGGCTTGAATTGAGTCAGTCAATTTGATCTGTTTTAAAATAAGAAGGTATGAAACTGCTCACTGTGTTTGTATTCATATTAAAACTGACAAAAATAAGTTAAAATCCTAATCATAACAACTGATAAAATAATCTACATTTACCCATTTTGATATTTATATTATTATTTAGAAATAATAAGAGGATTGTTTGTTCAGAATGCAGTATAAAAATCATTTCCTGGCCATTTTTCTTTCTCTGGCTAAGATAAAAGTGAGGTCATATATTTTATATATATGTAAAGACCCAATTCAAATCTTATATATATAACCCAGATGGAATCTTCATTCCACTATAATTAAGATGAACAAAAAACAGCTTTCAAGGCTAATTCAAAATTTTCATTTGTCCCAACTGCTTTAACTATTATTTCTTCCCAAAAGTTACTCCAGTTTAAATTTTATTAGAATCAGCTCACTTTTTAGAAAATAGCAGTCTATATATACATATCTGTCATGAGTAGATTTATTCAGAAAGGGTATCTAGCATACATTTTTAACAGATCAAATAAAATAGTCACTGCAAAGAATCAGAAAGATACCAACTCATGTTGGGTAAAGAACTAACTACTACTACTCTAACAACTGAATAAGTGTAGTAGAAGTAGTAATAGTAGCAATTTATCAAGAGTTTCAGTTTATAATAAAAGATATTCATATTATCTCCTAAAATTTATAAGTACATCTAAAATATGAACAGCAAGTGTGAAGACTTAATCAAAGTTTTGATACCACTTCACAAGTTTGACTTTTTAAATATATTACTATCTAAAGTGAATATTTTTAATGAGATGAGCTATAAAAAACATTCTAATCATCTTTGTTGTAGCTATAGTAAATATAATGTTCGTAATAACTGAAAAAACAAATACAGAATTAGTAATAGATGCTCATATAACTAAGAAAAGTAAATAAACTATTTGTTGTATTTATAAATAATGCTGTAGAAAGCATCTTCTTTATAAACAACTTTGTAGTGCATCAACTTTGAGTTAATACAATGATCCAATTTACAGTAGTAAAAACCTTGACATAGCTTAATATACATAAAAGTTTATGGTTAAAAATACAAATACAATTTAAAAATAATTTTATTTTTTTAAAATCCTGCTAGACTGGTTGATTTTTGAAGACAACTAGCAGTAACAGCACTTGGTAAGTAGTAGAGCCACCTTTTGCAAGAATTTTCCATCTTGTTAATGTTGAAACTGAAAAGATCGGTGTTAACTTTAATGGAAAGAAGTGCTTAATAAACAGTTCAGGCACTACCTGTTTCCATTCAAATAGCAAAGATCAGGCTAGTAACTGATTTTTGACAGATCTTTTCAGTATGTAATGCAGTTTACAAATAATACTCTTTAATATTATTGTTTATAATGACAGGTTCTCACTAATTTTGTACACATTCAATAATGAAGTAAAAATTTTTACTCTTGCTACATAGCAATAACTAAAAATGTAGCTATGGTTCTTTCTCCAAGATATTTAGTGAGATCTTGATTAAACTTATAACAGTTCAAGTTTTAAGTTTTGTAGATCAAAAACATAATTTTTAAGGAAAAATAAATAAAATGTTTAATTAAAAAACAAATATAAATTATTAAAGCAACTTCAAAAATATTCTTGAAGGTAATCAATGTTTGATAAACAAATAAGCAGTTGATAAAGATTGTCTAAAATTCTGAGATGAGTCATTATCATTATTTTAATTGTTTAGTCAAGTATAAATTGTTTATTTCATTTAGTAAACATTGATTACCTACAGGCATGTTTTTAGAGTTACTTCCATACTTTATATTTTGAAATTATCTCATGAACAGAATATTTGCCTTAAATGAAAAAAAAATTATTATTTTTTTTTTTTAAATAGGATAAAAAAATGTAAACTATTTGACTTTTAGTTAATTAAACAGTGAAGAACAGAAATTGTAATAGCTGTGTCATTTTTGGTCTTTATCTTCCATTACTGTATCTTATAATAAACATTCTTAGTTTACCAAAGACAAATCAGGAAACAATGTCATTTACTTTTGGGGAAAACTTTAAATTAGTTATTAATTAGTTAAGTATAATACAATTTTCATGAAGTAAATTGTAAGATTGAACTAGTTTTGGAAAGAAATGAATTTCTTTGATAGCTTTTTATTTCAAACTAATCCTTTTTTTCACTTCCTGTTTACAATATCTTTTTAGAATTGCTTATTCAGAAAACTTTGCTGAACTAATAGTAATCTCCTCATAAAAGTTGCCTTTATTTTTGATAATTTTTAAGAAAAAGCTTTTATAATTATAATGCAGCTATTTTTTAATAGTAATAACACTGCACAACTAAGAATTCTGTCTAGGTTAAAAATAATTACTAAATGAAAAAAAATATCCACTAAAAGTCCAGATTCTCATTGGTTTCAATTATTAATTTCTAGTAAATTGTCAGTATTGGCTTTGTTATTTGAATTTACTTTTTTGACTGTAAAGATAAAAAGATGAGTAAATTACTAAGAGAAAAAATTGAAATGCTTGTGTTCCACAGCAAGCTGACTGAAAGTAAATAACTATATTTATGTCTAAAGTGAATAACATTCAGGACTAAAATATTAATATATTTGATATAAACTAAAAATTTTTTTTTAAAAAGCAGGCAATGAGAGCTATGTATATTTCCAAATAATTTTATGAAAAAAACAAAAAACAAAACAAAACAAAAAAAACAAATTATAGAATATGATTTTACATAAAGTTTTCAGTAACAATACCTACATGGATCACGTGGGAATAAATATAATTTGCTTTTATATCAACAGTTTAATTTTTTTTACTAAAAATGTATATTGCAAGCAAGACTCTTTCTTTTACAAATTACAGACCAGAGAGAAAAAAATGTATTCTTTTTTATACTATCAGTACTAATAATATAACATTTAAGTATACATTTTACACACAAAATGATGACCAAGTATTTTTAACATATTCTGAAGTCAGAACTCCTTCCTAACACTGGAAAAATCCTCACCTAACCAGTATAAACATAACAAAATCTCTGTTTTGCAAAGTTTAATCTATGAGTTAATATAGATTTTCAACATTATTGTATATGAAATATGATACAATTAAAATAGTAGCTGGCTAAGTAATCAGGAAATATTGTAAAACTGTCTAACATTCAAGTACTTAGTTTTTTTTCTATCATGTCATTTTTTTGTATTAAAAAATAAAACATTTTACTATAAATATTATATAGTTATGAATTTCTCATTTTTTTTACATTCTTTTCAAGAATAATAAATGATACAATGGAAAAAAAATATGCTAAATCTCTGAAGTTAGCTACATTCAGATGCAGACATGGTCTGATTTTATATACAAAAATATCCTTTGATCATTTCAAAATAAATAAAATGTTATATAAGTATTACAATAAAATTCATGATTGATATTAATGTTGTTTAAATATACAATTAAAATACAAATCATATAACAGGATTAATTATGACAAATTTGGTATACACATCAAAGCCTAAAAGCATACAAATTGTAGTGGCTCTGTCTGAACGATTCATACTTAAATTTTCAATATCAAATTTGTGCAAGTATGAACACTTCATTTCACATATTAGCCAGCCCATGTTACTGGAAAATGGTCTCAAAGTGTAAAACAAGAATAGTCTTAGCTTCAAAATATATTTCTCAGATTCTTTTCCATTGCACTAAGCAGAAAGAATCATGACTTTTTTGGATAGCTATAGATGACATTAGTATACCATGAGGCATATTTTTGTAGTATTTCTTTTATTATTGATGCTAGATTACAAATAATGAGGCCCTGTTGATATTGACTAAAGTAATAGATTTTTGCTGCACAGTTAAGATTGTTATGAGAGAGTGGTTTTCCTAAGTGTGCACTCATTCTTTTCCTCATCAATCATTGAAGCATGCCAATGATGAGACAATTAGGATGCAGCAGAACACAAACAAAGTGGATTCTTGCATTTCCCAAGGCTATTAGTGTGAAGTGAATATGAATGCAAACATGATTCACTGATTTTGTGCTGAAAACCATTACATAGTCTATACATCTCTTCAATTTAATCTCTTCAATTAATATGCCATTTATATTCTACAACACTGAAGAGTGACTGAATATTATCTAAGATTTTATTTTTATGACATGAAAAATGAAAACAAAAAATCATATTGTGATTATATAAGCAAATTTGTATTATTGATACATAGATTATTGTGGCAAATAATCATAAATACCACAAAATAAATATAATTTTAACGTTTAAGAATTTTAAATTCATTCAAAACAGTCTTCGTATGCAAAATATTATAAAATGAAAATATAAAAAAGCAGTATATAATAAGTAATCACGCAAAATATTTCTTACAACTGGTTGACTTAGCAAGAATCAAATATGCAGCTGCTGCCAGTTTTGTCATATTCCAATTTGAAAATGTCATACAGGCAAGCAACAAGAATTATATTAAATTTTGGTCATTCTGAATTTAAAAACAAATAAAAGAAAAAGAATATTACCATAAAAAATATTAAAATTCTTCATTAATTTTTTAATTACAAAAGAAAAAATAATGATTGCTTAAAAGATTTCATATGTAAAATTGTGTAAAAGACTTAATCATTGAAAAATTATGATCTAATTAAACATGATATGCACAAAATATATGCTAGGAAACAGAACCAATAAACATTTGAAATCATATCATAAATAAAGATTATACAATTAAAAACAATGTTATAAAATAACAAGAAATATCAGACCATAAATTTGCAAGAAACAATATATCATTGGATCTTGTCTTACCAGTTTTGTAAAAATTCTTGACTGGAAGGAATAAGTTTTCCTCCTTGCAGAGATATTCTGTAATTGCAGGTCTGCCCAAAAGTGTTTCTTCTTGCTTAGACAAACCAAAAGGAAATTTATAAAAATTTAATTGTTGGTTATCAGATTCACACACCATGTGACCTGCAAGACAACCAAAGACAAAAGTGAATGAAAGCCAGAAAAGTAAGTCTAACAACACTTTTAGACCAACATATATTTCAAATAAGCAAAGTGAAAAGGAAATTAAAAATCAGGAACCTTTTAGATTATTTGAGATCACATTAATATTTTATATATGTATTGTAAATATTAAACAACTATTATTTAAAAACATTCAACTATTTGATTTTCTAAGAATCAATCTATAGAAGATCAAAATATCAACCACCTTCCATTCCTTTTCTATTATCATAACCTCATCAAATAAATCAAAAGGTACTCTTCTTTCAATCTACATCAATAAAAGTAAGAACTAATTAATAGGGAAGGGATATTATATTTGATTTGAGAAGTCATTTAACCAGTATCCTCTTGACATCAATTTAAACTGACACTTTTTTATATTGTGACATTTTTTCTTAAAATTCGTAATAGAGTAATAAAAAGATGAAACAAAATCATGAAAAATTAATGTTTATGAAAAAATAAAAATAAATGAGGCATCAATTTAAACTGATGCCAGCAGCATATCTGTTAATATCATCCATTTTTAGTCATGTCTACCAAATTATCACATTGATTATATTAAACCCAAAGAACTTTAAATACTATGATTCTATGAAGAAATCTGTTTTCAATCTTGGTAGTGAACATCTTCATTTTATAGCAATCAGTCCAATGATTTAACCATCAAGTTATTACCAAATAATGATATAGATTAGGTCAAAAAAGTATTAAATGGAAATTTAAAAAAATCTTTGACAGTTATATACAATGCATTAACTATGATTGATTGCAATTAAGAACAAAGCCTACATACATGATATTGAAATTAAAATATAAATTTATTTAATAATCGAAATTCTAAAAGTATACAAAACCATAGGAACTGTATATAATAGATAATAGAGTATATCCGTTAGAAGTTAATCCTATCTTAATGGTGCAGAACAGGCCAGTGGATAGAACTTTCTTTGTTAGCAAAATGAGCAGGGTAACTTATCTGGAAATGCTGTTTGATATAACAACAATTTTATAAGCAACAAAAAGCTTAGATATGATTAGGATGTCACACAATATATTTTCAAATAATTTTAAACCATCACAATATAAACTCTTGACAGACTTGCAAATTTATATACAACAAATTAAAAAAATGACTTTATAAATTGCATAAATAATAATGGTGTCTCTTGAAATTCTTTATACTTTATAGAAAAATATTTACAAGGATTAAAAGCAATTCTGCCAATATAACAACTTTAAAATGTATAATGCTTAACTTAAACTATCACACCCTAAAACTTATGGTCAAATCATACTGAAAACACTGCTTCTTGTTCAATCACTGAAGTGTTGAGTCTGGTCAAGTAATTAGACTGAAATATGATTTGGCTTTAAATAATCCACAAAGTGCTGATAAGCCATTAAAAAAAATATCAATCAAATCACACTCTAAAGGTTATGGTTTTTCATTTTTTTAAATTTAGTACCTTTAATATTTTGTATTTAGAAGTTATTCTAGATGGTTTAAATTAAAAGTTGTAACTACAGTTAAAAGTCTAAGAAAGACCATTTTGTTCCAATAGCCAAGACTAATAGGTCACTATCTCTAGTTAATAATTCTGTCCTTTCCAAATAAGAAGCTTTCAGGCACATAGCCATTATTATCATTAGAAGTACTAAGCCACTTGAGACAAGGTTCCAGTTCACAATCAGTAATTCATTGCTGGTCCTGGACTCTGGATCATATTTTCATATCTCTCTAGAGTCTAAACCATCAATCCACTATTCTAATCATTATAAAAACCCACATGTATCATATATATATATATATATACCTGGTTAATAGCTACAAATGATAAAAAAGATTATCAATATTAGCTATTAAGTACTCATAAAAATTTGCAACAAGGAAATTAATCATTACAAATGTAAAACACAATTCTAACTTAAAAAAAAAAACCTCCTTACATTTATTTCTCAATTATAAAGTATAGTTCTGTGCTAATTACATGTAGCAAAATAATTAGCTAGTCTTAATGAAGATAATAAATTTTCTATTATCAAACTGAACTTTTACCAAATGCACACATTTATCATAAGTATATCATAAATACTTTATTTCTGTAAAATATGTTTTTAAGTATTTTCCATTTTTGATCATTAACTCATAACTAAATCCAAACACTTCATGTCATTGTTTCAATTTCTTTATAAATTGCTGTTTTAAAGAATTTTTAACATGGATACACAACTTAAATCTCTAAATGTTCATAGATATATTTTCTATTCTGACATAAACAACTGCTATTTCCTAAATCTAAGACTTTTCCTTTCATTCCTACGATCTTAGTTACTACTACGTTCTAAATTTCAACCTCTGTCTATAATTTTTCAAATTATCTGAAAGAAAAGTTAAGTAGATTGCTTTTTTACAGGTAAGTCTTCTTCTTGTAGAATCTTGTAGCAGTGTACACTGTATGCTATAACCTTCTTTTGATGCGACTAAAATATTTATAATTTCTTGTATAATGGATCAAAAAAGTGTTTTATGTAGAGTATGACTTACGACATAGGGGCTTCCAAACTACGGTTGCCAAAAGATTTTGGTTGTTTCTTTATAAATAAATAGTCACATTTCCTTTTCGTTCCGAATATGTTGATTAGAAAAAAAAAAACTAAAAAACACCAACTGAAAAAACCAAACTTTACTAAAATGTCTAGAAATGTAAACTTTCTTCACTTGTGAATATTTTCAAATAAACATTAAATAAATAAATTTTAGAAAAAAATTGAGAAAATAAATAAATGATAAAAAATATGGAGCTACTTTCTGACAATGCATGTGTTCCAAGATGCAAGAAAAGTCAATCAAATTTAGAAATGAGAAACGAAGGCATTTTTCTCCATGTCAAGACAGGAGGATGATAGAGAAACTAAGACAACAAATATGTTAGTAAAGGCTCAGGATTTTGTTTAAGACTTTTTTCTCTGGTAGGCATATGAAGTGCAGTTCTTTTGTTTTCAAATCAATTTTGCTAATTTACTCAATGGCACTGATTTTTTTATGCCATGTGGAGTGGGTATGTGGATTCAAAACTTTAAGTCACTTTTTACTACAAAAAATGGATGTTTTAAAAAAAATTGGTTAAGGCAAATGACATTCTATAACGAGAAATTCACACTAATTACCAGCTGAAAAGTTCTCAAGAGGAAAAAAGTACTTGATAGTGATCGTTTACTTTTTATTTTTTAAACTTTTCAATCAATTTTAATTTTTAATATTTTTAAATTTTAAGGTTATAGCTAAGAAAATATTGTGCAAGCAAGAATAAAATTAATAAAAATATTGAATAGATGTGAAAACAACCTGAAAAATCACTGGGGTCAGCTCAGTTTTTTGAATTATTAACAATCAGAAAAATATTGCTTTTTATGGAAAACAAAACGTAAAGTTGAAACTCACCACACTACTGTCAGTACTTAGTAACAAACTTTTTTTCTGCTCTTATTCATCACTCTGTTAATTATTAAAAATAAAATTAGATTTTAGAAGGCTGAAGCTAGAAAAAAGATTTAAAATAATTAAGGTTATGAAAAGATCACCATTAATAAAATTAATGAATAAAAAATTTTTTTTTAAACTTTTTATCAAGAAATTTTGTACCTTCTCAAAAAGTTGGGGAGGGGACACCTGGATGCCACAGAAATCAACCAGGAAAATGTTGAGGGACAAGAAAGGTGATGAGTTGTTCAAATAAGTTTAAAAAAATAAAAGATAAACAACGTGAGCTGAGTAAAATTAAAAGTTTGGAAATGGAATGGGGTGAATTCACATTTTAAAAGTTTTGTTAAATAGTAGGAGAGGAGTGTTTCTCGATCTTTCCTTGCTAACATTCTTCTTAGCCTCCACTCCCCGCCCCTCACCAATGTTCAGTCCAGTAGTATTTAAGACCAGCATCCCCTCATAAAAGCCAAGGTGTCGGGCGCTGTAAACACCATGGTAGGAGATATCAACTTGGAACTTAGACATAACTGTTCTGTGACAATATTTTTTCAGTTATTATTAAACCTGTAAAAATATTACTGTAAGTGTAACGTTTTCACTTCAGGAAAACTCAGAAAAGCAATTAAATTTCTTCCTAATGAATTGCTTAAAAAGATCGTTTTTTACCATATTGTATGATGAAAATAAGAATTTTTAATTAGTAATTTCAGTCTGTTTAAGATTTTAAAATTCAACAGGAACTGAAAAAAAAAAACCTCTTCCATGATAAAAAAAAATGTCATGTGACCAATACACTTCATTCGACACTGAGTAAAAAAATTGTTTTGTCCTCCGTTGTTTCTCCTTTCCAGTAAATTGTTTTAGCCTAACTCTAGTTATAAAAGGAGAAACTATTTTAATTTTAATCATTTATCCTAATAGTATTAGAGGATAAATGTTTTAAAATTGCTAATTTTGAAAATGCTCTGCGCAATCTTAATTTTTATTTTTTTGTGAATATTTTTTTTTAATGGGGATTTTTTTTATTATGCTTAACAAAATTATATTTTAACTTAAGCATAATGAAAAAAAATAACTAAGCTTAATTTTTATCATTAAAAAATGTAATTACCATTTTTTAAAAAATAAATAGTGATTATGAGAAATGCTACAATTTGTAACGACAGAACTTTTATTAAAAATTCAACCTAGTTTTTCAAGATGTCTCTTTGCTGCAAATGTGTGGGGAGATATTTAAATTAAATGGGAACAGACGAGTCAGTTACTTTCTGAGGCTTTCTAAGTAGTAATATCTTTGATTTCACATGTTTCAGGGAAATTTCAGTATGGAAGTTAGAAGTATATTCAGGTGTCAAATGGTTATTTCAAATTCAAATGTTATTAGTCAGAAATAAATTCAATAAACTTAACATAATTAATTTTTAATCTTTTTATTTTTGTACCTGGTGTATACTGCACTATTTAAAGTAAA